TTTTATAATTCACGCCGGTTTATAAATGAAGCTGGTTTATAAATCAGGATGGTTTATAAAGCAGGATGGTTATAAATCAGGCCGCTTTATAAGTCAGGGCATTTATAAAGCAGGATGGTTTATAAATCAGGGTTTTTATAAATCATGCTGGGTTATAAATCATGCTGAACCCAGCATGATTTATAACCCAGCATAATTTATAAACACCCTGATTATATATTATGTAATTGTTATTATTATAAATAAGGATTGTTTATAAATCAGGATGGTTTATAAATCAGGCAGGTTTATAAATCAGTGTGTTTATAAATCAGGATGGTTTATAAATGAAGCTGGTTAATAAATCACAGTGTTTATAAATCAGGATGGTTTATAAATCGGGGTGTTTATAAATCAGGCTGGTTTATAAATGAAGCTGGTTTATAAATCAGGATGGTTTATAAAGCAGGATGGTTATAAATCAGGATGATTTATAAATCAGGGTGGTTTATAAATCAGGCTGGGTTTTAAAGCAGGATGGTTATAAATCAGGTGAACAAACGCTTTGGGGTTGTAAGCTGGTGTTTCTATGTTGTTGCTGTGAACTGGTCCGGATAAACTGAGATGTCTGACCGTTCCTTTCTGGTCCAATGGTCTTAGAAGGTGTCAGATAAGGTCCAGGATCAGAGGATTTAACCAGGCACCATTGTTGTGTTTTAGGGCTACAGCTCCTGGATATGCTCCCCAAACTGAGGTCAGCTGAGTTTTTCTTCATCACTCTGATAGCAGCCCATCTGTGTGTTGAGTCCGTTTGTGACCTTTTGCTGTCCATCTCCAGAGACACGGAGGACGTGGACCTAAACATCCAGTGTGATGCATTTGAAGACTCCATGGCTGACGATGAGGAGGAGATGGAGAGACTGTACGGAGGGATCGACATGAGCAGCCATCAGGAGGTCTTCACCTCGCTCTTCACCAAGGTTGGCATCAGCTGGAACCAAAGCATCAGCTCTAAAAGTCCAGAAACCTTTGAAAAATTCTCAGGGAACCCAGTAGAACGGTTAGAAACCTGTGGAGAGTTTGAAATCTACCAGGGCTGTGATGAACCCCATCGTCTGAATTTAAAGGAAGACTGGAGAGAGGAAAGCTTGTTTGCTATAAAACACCAGCAACAGGATGAGGAAGAATGATCTCTAATCCGATTAGAACAAGCAGCATGATACCTATCCCCTCTGACTCAGTGACCGGGTCCAGAAACGCCCTGACTCCGTGACCGGTTTCAGAAACGCCCTGACTCAGTGACCGGGTCCAGAAATGCCCTGACTCCGTGACCGGGTCCAGAAATGCCCTGACTCCGTGACCGGTTCCAGAAATGCCCTGACTCCGTGACCGGTACCAGAAACGCCCTGACTCAGTGACCGGGTCCAGAAACGCCCTGACTCAGTGACCGGGTCCAGAAAAGCCCTGACTCAGTGACCGGGTCCTGAAACGCCCTGACTCAGTGACCGGGTCCAGAAACGCCCTGACTCAGTGACCGGGTCCAGAAACGCCCTGACTCAGTGACCGGGTCCAGAAACGCCCTGACTCCGTGACCGGGTCCAGAAACGCCCTGACTCAGTGACCGGGTCCAGAAATGCCCTGACTCCATGACCAGTTCCAGAAATACCCTGACTCCGTGACCTGGTCGAGAAACGCCCTGACTCAGTGACCGGTTCCAAAAATGCACTGACTCAGTGACCGGGTCGAGAAATGCCATGACTCTGTGACCATTTCCAGAAATGCACTGACTCAGTGACCGGGTCGAGAAATGC